CGTTGGTGGCCAAGAAACACGAGACAGAGAGAGTGAGAGAAAAGAGTGATAGAAGCGAGGGGTGGAGACAATAAGAGAAATGTGTCATGCTGAGAGGTAAAAACAGTACAGGCAAACTCTGCTTTTGGCTGCTGTCTCTCTCTGCCGTGTGTCGGAGCGTCTGACAGACCATACTGGAGGTGTGATCACATGTATTAGAGCACGATTCCCATTTTAGCAAAGGTGTTTATTGCATGTATGTCTGAAGGTGCACAATGTACATCACAGCTGTTGTCTTGTCATCCAGGTGTGCATCCACCTGGATTTTAGGAGTAAACCCCTAGATGACAGGTACCACACTTCCTCTTTTACAAACTCTGAGACATTAAGATCACTTCTCACCCAGCTGGATCTTATTTCATGGTGTGTGCGTGTGTGTGCACACCTGTCTGCTCCATAAACCTGTGTGACCCTCTGTTTCCACTGTAACCTGAAGCTGCCCTAGCATTTGTCAGCACCCGCCGATTATCTCAGGTGCTGGTGCCCATCTGGAAGATGAGAAACTTCACACTGGAAATAAATATCAGGGTGTGCAGCACTTCACTGAGAACATGTGTCAGTGGAGTAGAACATGTAACTCCCTCCATCCTGTCCCTTGTTCTAACAATTAATCCAATTATGATTAACCAAAATTATCTGTAAATGAATTATTTGTCTGTTATACACATCTGGCTTCACAGCTCTGATGTTGGGCTCTAGGCCTATCTGTATAGCTGCTGGTGGCTTGGTATATAATTATTACACCTAGTATGTAGAAGATAATGAAAATATTTCTAAAGGATTTTACTCTATTACGTTCAGATCATCCAAACTTTAACACTTTGCTCTTTCCATTTTTCTGAAGCGGGTCTATTCAAGATTCTTCTCTTTTTCCCAGTTTCTTAACTTTTGTTGGGTGACATTGGTGCATGCTGAGCATTCAAACTTTAGAAAAATGCTTAGACAAGTGCCGCCGATTTATGACGAAAATAAATTAAAGTGAAAATTAATGCATTTCTGACTTTGGCAGTGTTGCTTTCAGATGATGTAAGCACACCATGTACACTGTGACAGTCCCCACTTAACAATGACAAAATTATTTATCATGGAAAAATGAAGCAGCGCTAACCCTTGACCGGTGTCTCTTCTGAAAAGAGGAAAAGCAGCAGCTCTGCTGACATGGAACATTCCACATAACATCCCAAAAATACACACACACACCTGACCTCACATCCACATGTCAACAGCCCCCTGAACAAATATTGTAGGTGAGGCTGAAGGAAAGTGAGGCCAGAAGTTCACATTCACAGAACCTGCAGAAATACATGCATGCATTTACATACTGTAGAATGGAAGTTTAAGAACTGAGATCCCAGGATTTCTCACCAAAATCCTCCTCAAACTTCTGGCAAGAAAATACAAGATTCCAGTGGTGTTAAGCACATCTCTGACTTTACACATATAGGGTGTCATAAATACTCCTGTAACTTTATTCTTGAAATCCAGTTTTACGGAAATAAAAACCTCAACTTTATCTTAAAGCAGGTCTTTCAGAAACCTTTGATGCTGAAATGCTACCAAAACCATTTACCTGCAGGGCAGAATTTTATTAGATAAGGCAAGTGAAGACTGAAAAATCAGCAAATTGCAGATAAAAATCACATGCAGGTCAACAAATATTTTGATCTAACCTGCAAGATTCCAATCCCATCACATACAACCAAATATCCAAAAACAATGCTCCTGCACCTCCAACCTCAACAACTGAGCACAACCCTTTATAAAATGAACGTTTTATGGTTTTGCATTGGTTATTCACTATATTGCCATGCAGTATATAATCAAACATGTTAAAGAATGACAAAAAAAATGTAAGATACATAAAACATGGAATTAAAAATTTAACGCACATGCACAACTAAGCATTCACTCACATGCACACAGACCAATGGTCATGCATGAAGTGAAAACTTCATAAGCTTGAAGTTTTTATTTTGTTTGATTCATGCAGGCTCCCATTCTGTGCTCTGCACACACAAACAGACACACAAATATAGTCTCAGCTGCAGTTTAATTTCATTTTGCCCTGCACTGATCCAGCACTAGAAACTCATGCACACAAACACACAGCATCCTCCCATGCTGTACAATGTGCTGCATCCTTTCAACCATCCACAGAACTAACCAGCTGATCACAGCTTCTGTTCTCAGAAATCCAATTCACTCCAAAGGTCATTTGTCCATTACTTTTCCCTTCTGCTCTTTTCCTTTTATTTATTCTGGTGATTTGTTACTTCTTAAAATGTATACCCTCTGCCCTCTTAATCTTTCCTCATCAGCATCTTTCTTATTATTATGTATTTTGGTTTGAGCCCCATCTACCCCTATCTTGGCTCTCTCCCTTCCTTCCCCTATCACAACCTTGTTTACAGCCAGCAAGAGGTTTTTGGCTTTGAATGGCAACACAGGGCAGAAAAGGCTCTAACCAGGTGTCTGGATCACCGAGAAAGTGGGCACAGCAGGGCAGAGCTGGGCTTTGTGGCTCTGCTAGGTTTAAACAGGCAGATAGGGGCAGAGCTAAGCACAGCCTGACTGTTTTCTTTTGGCAATCCTGAGGAGGCCGTAAAAACTGATTAATAATGACATGAGCTGTTCAAGAGCACAGAGAAACAAATTAAGTATACAATAATTGGATAATACTAATGTGATTACAAGTTTTTTTTTCCTCTTTTTTGACAACTATGCGGCAATTACAGCACTAACTGCAAATTTATTTTTACACCGTTTCATTGTAACAAAATCGCTTTAATCCAACATGTACATACTGTATTTGGGAGATTAACTGAATAAAAACATTTTAGTTTTAGAGATGCACAAGTGTCTGAACGATTAGATTTTAAAAATAGCCTGAACAAACATGAGGATTCACACGTTTTCCAAGTCCATCTAAAAACCATGACCATATGTACGTTGGAGCGGGTTTTGCTTTGTTTAATTAATCCTCCTGTGCATGCTGGCCCTGAAGAGATCCCGTGCTAATGGCACTCCAGCGTAAGAGATGGATGACCAAATCAGCAGGCCTCCTTCTGAGCAAAAAAGCATTCTTAAGTTTTGCTCAAGTTAATCTGAGGTTTCAGCAGTCTGATCAAGTATTTCACAAATTATATCCTTTTGAAATTCCTTGTTTGTTTCTTCAGCCCATGCTTTCTTGCTGTGTGTAATAAAATGACCATAACTTGGGAAGATATTTGTATCTAAGCCAGACTGCTGAAGCCTAATATTAGCTTCAACTGCACTTAAAGCCCCCTGTATGTTTACATTGGGTGTTTTTCACCTAAATGCATTGTGTGAATCCTTGAGGCCTAAGAAATGTGTTAAGTGCATTTTCTCCCTCATACAAACATGTGCAAAGCCAACATTCTAAATATATGGATGCGTGTTGTTCACATCCATGTATGCTGCCTTGTAATCATCCTCATTACATTCGTTGGCAGATTGCTACATCTCTTTACACATGATCAGCACCAGTTGTCATAACATCAGTAGTAACAGGAACAAGTGTCATGTCACCCACAACATGCATGTCCTTGTTTGCGTGCACAATACAAACAAAACAGGAGTCCCCTTCTAAAAACACTGCTCTCCTTACCTAGTAGTGGTCACATTAGAAAGGAAACTTCCCATGGACAGGGGGGGATTTATTATAGTGGCCAACAACTATTTCAGTGAACACATGGGAATGCGATTATTATTCTACATATAACAGATGTAAAAATGTGAACCTACCTTTTAAAAACCTGGCATAGCCAGCCATGCAGCAAACCACTCACTGGTACTGACTAGTGATCTGTTATATGCAACCTGCAGCAAACCACTCACTGGTACTGACTGGTTGCATATAACAGATCACTAACTACATTTTGAGAGTAACCTTTCCCAGATAATGCCAATAGGCCCAGGAATGACAGGCCAGAGTGAGCAGCAGCAGCGAGTTGCCACTGGTTGGTGTCAGTCTAAGTGGGGATGTCAGGCCTGTGCTGTCCTGGCTTCCTGCCTGCTCTCTCAGCTGCTTGCTCAGTCCCCAGTGTCCTTAAACCCTAAACAGATCCAGTTGCTGCTACTCAGCTCCAGTGGCGGACTGATCAAGCTGACTAATAAACACTTTTCCTAATGAGGCAAACTCCCTCCCCTAATCTTGTCAGTCCCTGTATGAATCTTTTGCTCCTTTTTACTTGTCTTCTTGTCCTCCGCTCTGAGACGTTTATCTTGTGCTTGTCCCTTCCACCTCTTCCTTGGGCACTGGTCACTGTTTTTCTGCATCCTCTCACCTCAGCCGTTTCTGAGCACACAGTCTTTCACACTGTCTATATCTCACTTCTCTTTCCTCGCCGACAGCCATTCACCAACTGTTTGCCATCTCTTTTCCTTTTCCTCTATTCATCGTCAGCTCTATTAAAAGCATTTACAATTCAGGCTCTCTGAACAACTGCTGTACAACCAAAATATTTTATGGAGACACTTGCAATTCAGATTCTGCTGGAATATCAAATATCTGTCCAGTGCTTCTGTATCTAAGTGTAGAGAGTATTAAACAGCTTCTGTAATAAAGTAATGAATACTGAGGTTATCTGGGTATTCCTTCCTGGGTATTCCCCCACCTCCAAACATGAGTGAACTAAAAGGGGCAGGGGGCAGAGGGATGAAAACATGACTTGGGTATTTGTCATGGCAGGCCTGGTGTTACAACCCATTCATAGCACAACAGGGGGAAACAGCAGTGTGAATCATAGGTGTTAATGTATGAAAACCTCTGAGCTATGCGGTCAACCAGAAAAACTTACCAGGACCAACTAGAAAAAAAGTGTTTGCTTTTGTTATTTGGTTGTATCTTTATACAAGACAACTTTACAGCTAGCTCAGTGAATACTACAGCAGCCAGAAAGATAAGAACAGAGTGCAGGTAACACAGGCTGTCCACTCACCAGGCCATCACAGTTGCTGATAGCCACAGTGGCTCCTGGTGTGTCTGTGATGTCACCCACGTACAAGCATTCATCGTGCAGTGGTTCAGAGTAGCGGATGCTGTCGCTGTCATCATGCCATTCCATCTTGGCTCCGGGGGCCACCAGCCTGGCATTGTGATGCAGGCGCAGATGGAACTCCCGGCCGAAGACGGTGACGTTGTAGTAAAGTCTTTCCCCATGGGCCCCGGGCTCGTGGTCCTCCTTGATTCCTCTTGGGTCTTCCCACTCATCGTTGCCTACTCCTACCTCCCTCTTCCAGCGCCTACGGGACTGTCCTCCTGCCATGTGGCCTGCTGAGACAGCGTGTGACAGGAAGCGGCCCTCTGCGTCCACACTGATCGGCCTCACCAGTCCATACTCCCCCAGGACATGCTGCAGGGAGTCTGGGAACAGGACAGAGAAAGAGAGAGAGGGGAGGGGTAAAGGGTGAGAGAAGAAAGGAGACAAGGCAGGAGAATGTGAGTAAGGGAGGGAATAGTTGGTATTTGACAAGAAAGATGTGGAAAAAGGTTGGGAAAGAAGAAAAACATTAAAGATAAGGGGAAAAGAAGCCACAGGATGGAGAATCATGGGGGATACACAGTGGGGAAGATGGGAAGTCATGGGTAGAGGGTGAAAAGAAGGATGTGGGGAAAAGGTGGGAGAAGCAAAATGTAAAGCCTGCCATGGAATTATTTTTCCAAAGTTGCATCACAGAGAACAAAATTAATTTTATGCGCGACCCTGATGCTCGCAGTGCCCGTTTGGAAACGGCAGCCTCAGCAGTGAGCGCTGCGCTCTTTCCACCGTATAAGATCAAAGTGCTAATTGCGGTTTTCTCACGCTGGTTTCAGGCTGCTCGACCCGAGAGAAATGATTCCTGTAACCTCTATACCTAATGAATGTTTAAAAAAAACAAACTGATCGAACAAATGAAATTGGCACACCTTATTGGAAAGCGCTTTTTTATTAAAATGATACACATTGAGATGTATTTTGTATAAATTTATATTATTAACAACATCGCCATCATTATCACTAATCACCAGTATTGTATCTTTATCTTAATTAGCCTACATGCCAATTACCACACTGGGTGAAAGATTAAACGTTCTGAAGACAGTTTGTGCTTCTGACATTTTACTGGATGAATTTCACTTGTTCTCATGTGACAGTGACAGAAGGCGACCGGAGAGATGGTGTCAATGTCATCACAGAGGCAGACACTTCATAGGGTAGCACCTTGTATGTGGTCCACAGGTGCACATCTGTCATATCTAATTTAGCCTATAAAGTTGGTTGACTGATCAAACCAAATACCCACTCCAACCCACGCCGAAGGAATGATTTGATAATAGTATGATCAATAAGATGACATCCGACTCCAGTGTCCTGTGACAGATCGATAGATGCGACAGCGGCTGAGTCAGATTATGTTAGGCTACTTCCCTGCAAAATCCGACGGTAAACCGGTGCATCAGATGCCCCTTTACACCCCAGGTAACACTATCCCCTGGATGGGAGGAAGCACATCACAACACTGCTTGTCCTGCTGAGGGACCTCCATAAAGTGCCGGCACATGGACAAGGACACAGAAGTTGCAGATGCGTCCTAAATTGTTGCTTGCAAAAACTGTAAAAGCTTTGTAAACATTAAACACAAGCAGGAGGAACCGGACAGTGATTTGCCGCTACGTGGAGCTTCACTTCCAGTGAGCGCATAAAGAGCCCCGCGCAGCCCTGCTGATAGGAGATCAGCAGATAACAGAGTACAACATAAACACTGACCACGTTTAACTGTACTGTACGTACCAACGCTACTGGCGATGTAAAGGCCGCTGGTGTGCAGCAGAAAAACCGGCAGAATAATTAGGACAGTAAATCCAGGCGAGAGACCCATGGCAGCTCCGAACTGCGCAGGTGAGAGAGTGGGACTCCGGGCTCCAGTGTGGTGAAGTTCCCCGCCTGGCGCGATCAGCCACGCCACGACAGCAACAGCACAGCAGCCCGCAACTAGACTGCCAAGTGCACCGGGAGAGACGGAGCTCTCCTACCCCCCTCCCCTCTCTCTCTCCCACTCACACTCAACTCTCCTCCTCTCTTTCCTCCTCTATTTCTCGCCGTCTTTTCCTGGACTCCTGTCTTACATTGCGCGTGCTCCCCGACTCTTTGCCATAGTGCTCAGACAACTCCCCAGCTCTACACACACACACACACACACACACAAGGCGCCCACACACTCCCCGTGTGTCTCGACTGCGAGATGAGAGGATGAGGTTTCAGAAAGCTGCTGGTGCTGCGGACTCACTGACTGACAGGCCCGCTGACGGCTCTCAAGAAACGGAAATTAATGAGCAAGCGTTTAGCACACCTCCAGTGTGGCGCGCCCAAAAGTGATTTTTGCAACTTGAAAGTTCTTTCTGGGATCATAAGTAACTGTACAACTCTCCGCTCCGCCGGTACATCATATGCTGCAGGCCTGGCATTAACTTTGAACCGTCTATCCCGTCAAGCTTCCTGAGCTGGGTGAGCAGCAGCGCCCCGCGCGAATCGCTGGCAGAAGCGCACTCGATTTTGAGGTGCCCAAGGGTCCAATTTAGAACCAGAAAGTCTTACTAACTCTAACCTGCATTGCCCTCATTTAACACCTCGCTTACCCCTCTTATATTGTTGTAAACACTGATGAGCAGCATAAGGCAAATAATTACATTTCCAGAATATTCTTTTCTTTACTTTTTCTTGTCTAAAGACTATACAGTACCAATAATAACAGGAGCAAAGTAACATAAAACCAATAACAGTACTGATCAGCCACAACATTACAACCACTGGCAGGTGAATAACACTGATTATCTCATTACAGTGGCACCTGATAAGGGGTGGGATGTTTTAGGAAACAAGTTAACAGGTCTTGAAGTTGATGTGTTGGAAACATTGGGGCTGCATGGCCAAAGCCCAGTCAGAGTGCCCATAATGATCAGCCACCATATTAAAACCACCTGCCCAGTATTGTGTAGGTCCCCCCTTGTGTCAAACTACTCTGACTGCTTTCCTGTTTCTTGTTCTTTTTTCTTCTCTCAGCCTTACCTTGTTTACTCGTTGCTTTGCAAAAAGAACGTAGTGCCAATCGTTGCTTTGCAAAAAGAACGTAGTGCACACACACACACATTGAGAGCTACAGAGTCAAATTACTTGTGTGTCCAACACAGCTCATTCTGATTCTAAATGTTCGAACTCTGCACCTTCTCTCTTAAGGCTAAGTCCAGCCACCCTGTGAAGAAAAAGTATTTTCAGCCATTTGTATTCACGATCTTATTTTTTAAGTCACTACCCACCATGTGCGACCATAGGTGAGGGTTGGAGCGTAAACTGACTGGTAAATTAAGAGCTTTGCCTTCGACTCAGCTCCTTATTCACCACAACGGTCGGCTATAGTGTCTTCATTATTGCTGATGCTGCTATCCACCTGTCAATCTCACACTCAATTTTCCCCTCACCCTGAGATACTTAAACTCCTTCACTGGGTTCAACAACTCACTCCCAACCCAAAGGGAGCAGTCCACCTTCGGATTTGGAGGCGCTTACTCTCATCCCTGCTGCTTCACACTCAGCTGCTAACCACCCAAGTGTATGCTGGAGGTCACAATCTGATGAAGTTAGCAAAACTACATTATCAGCAAATAGCAGAGATGTAATTCTGAGGTCTCCAAACCACAGAGATGCAATTCTGAGGTCTCCAAACCGGACACCCTCCTCCCTCCTGCTGCACCTTGAGATCCTGTCCATAAAAGAGACAACTGCACCTTGAGATCCTGTCCATAAAAGACACAACCAGGATCAGTGACAAAGGACAACCCTGACAAAGACAAATACTAACTGGGAACATGTTTAACTTCCTGCCGAGTATGCATGCACAACTCTCACTCTGGTTATACAAAGAATGGATGGCTTGTATCAACGACCCAAGTACCCCATGCTCCCAAAGTACCCCCCCAGAAAAAATTAAGGAGAGACCCTGTTGTAGGCCTTCTTCAAATCCACAAAGCACATGTGGACTGGATTGACAAACCCCCAAGATCCTTCCAGTAACCTTGCAAGAGTAAAGAGCTGGTCCACTGTTCCACGAGCAGGATGGAATCTGCACTGTTCCTCCTGAATCTGAGTTTCGACAATCACTCAGAGCCTCCTTTCCAGCACCCAGGCATAGGGAGGCTGAGTAGTGTGATACCTGATAATTGGAGCACACTCTTCGGTTCCTATTTTTAAAAGTGGGAACCACCACCCCAGTCTGCCAGTCCTCAGGGACTGTCCCTGTCCTCCATGCAACATTGAAGAGGTGTGTCAACCAAAGCAGCCCAACTATGTCCAGAACCTTCAGCGGGTCAGGGTGAATCTCATCTACTCCTGCTCTGTCTCCAGTAAGATATAAATTACATTTCAAACCACTACAACAAAGGAACAACCAACTTGGTGTCTCAGTAAGGTGTTAGGCCACCACAGCAACTTCATTGCACCTTGGCATTGACTCTCCATGTCTGAACTCTGGAGGGATGAACACAATTTTTCCAAAAGATAATTCTTCATTTGCTGTTTTGGTGGAGATGACGCTGTCTAACACATCAGTCCAAAACTCCCACAGGTGTTCAACCCAGTTGAAATGTGGTGACAGGGTTACAGCATGAGATTCACATCATTTCATCATCAAACCTTTCAGTGACCCCTCATGCCCATTGGATGGGAACACTCATCCTGGAGGAGACCCGTCTCATCAGGATAGAAATGTTTTGTCACCGTACAACTTTGTACTGATTTGAGTGACCTTTAATTCTAAGGGGACAAGTGGATCCAAACCATACCAGCATCTTTCTTTTAATTTGTTCACCCTCCCTCAGTTAATGCTGCTACATCAGACAACGTACAGGTTGCTTTTTAGCCATCTACAACAGTGTATATTTACATGCTAGGTCATATCATGCTTAGGTCACATTTAAAAGAACCCTTTTGAGGTGCAAGACTCAAGCACCATTGCAAAAATACTGCAATAAGTTGTTCTGCCCCCTGTTTCATAGAAGCAGGTACATTTAAAATGTTCAGTCAACACAGCCCTCTCAGATTGTTGTTGCTTTTAGAGTGTAGAGTCCATCATGGCTATAAATTCCAGTCTGTTAAAAGACTAGTTTTATTATTGGTTAATCTAAAAATCTTTCTAAAAATCATTTAATTTAACAGCAAAGACATTTTTAAAATGCCCATCACAGTTTTGTAGAGCTCAAGGTACCCTCGTCAAATCACGTTTTGTTTAACCAAGTCTTTGTTTAGGCAATACTAAGATAGAGATGAGCAGCAAATTCTTGTGTGCTCAAACCAGGAAATATTTGATTTAAAAACTAATCAATCTATTGCTCAGCAGAAGTCAGCTTACAACACCATTTAAAGCTGACGTCTCTGTGCAATGTATGTAGAGTCAGTAAGAGAAAAGTACCATTTAATATTAATGATGAAGACTCCTTCTTCCTGTACTCAGAGAACAAGCAGAGGCTTGGTGGTCAAAACTTAGCTAATGGGATTTGCTAATGTTTCTGCACAGTTTATTTGGCTTAGTGCAGTGCAGCCCAAAGACAGACTGTAGTAATTGTAAAATTAGTGTTAATTGTGTTGGTGGCCTCATCTTCAGCTGCAAAAATCTCATTTAAACTGCTGTATCTCTAATTTTATTAATATTTGTTGGACTAGAGATGTCATATTGAACTGTGGTGAATTTGTTGGAACAAAAATAAAACTGGACAACACTTTTGCATTATTTATGAGGTTTTCCTAATTTCATTTGCATAAACACCCAACATCTGAACTTCTTGGCATTTGAACCTCAGTAAGAAAAATCTGGACCAACTATAGTGATATAGTATGTCTGGAGTGAGTTTGTGCTTTGATTGACAGGTCAGCTTGTCACATTCAGCCCTGGAGACCTGTTGCTCACCCCATGTCACCTCCATTCAGCCACAATGCCACTGATCAAACTGGAGTTTTTTTTATTTCAGTAAAATCAAACCAAGGCTTAAAACCATTCTTTCAGAAACTTATGACAGATGTCACAGCCTCTGTCCCTGTGCACTCTCGTCACCAACTCTGATTTCCTTAAATTCTAGGATGGCTATGCTTCCTAAATGAAAGTGGTTTCATGAACTGCAGGATAAAGTCCAACTCATTTCTCAATTGCCACATCATCACTAATCTTTTACAAGAAGCTCTGGAGAGCAGACTGAACAGATATTTCCATCTGCCTTTGTTGGAAGAATCATCCACCAGTATTTTACTATGCACTCTTCAGGACTTTGAATGCCAGCTATCTGCTATCTACAGCAGGATTTTTTGAAGAAAACTGTTTTTCTATCAAATCTGGTAACTTACAGTTTAATCGTACCACTATGACTTATTTAATCAATCATTATTTGCGACTCAAACCACCACACAATGATTAAGTAGCCCCCCCCCACATATCATACAGCATGTTAATATCAAACATATCTGAAAAATGTTAACTGCCTGTGTTTTTACTGGATTATTCTTACCAGGCCTGTGCATGGGAATGAAAAAATAATAGAGGTTAGACAAACAACTTCAGTTATGTTTTAAAAAAAAACAACCTTAAAGTGCTCATACCTACACTTGTACAAGACAACATGAAACCAGTGTTGAAGACAAAAAGCCACTTATCCTTCACTGTCATCACCACTCATTTAGATTTTACTACAATATATGAACATCACACTAGTTTCTGCACTGACAATGAACTTAAAACCCTGAGTCTGTTTACTGACCAGCACAGCCACAGATAAGGCAAGTTCACTTTTTCAACACTGCAACATGTAATTACACATACAGCAATACTGTAAATAGGCAAATGCCCTTTTTATAGATCATGTAAACATGTTTCACCTCCATCCCTGTCTGAGTTGTGTGGAAGTTATTCTTTGTTGAACCTGGCATTAAACACCCATGTAACTCCCATCTGTATCCCAACTCGCAGAGAAACTACACCAGAGGCCCTAGATGCAGGTATGGGAAAGGGCAGAGGAAGAAGAGGAGAAGATGGAAAGTGACAGATTGAAAAGACTGAAAAAAGGGCATCAAAGATGAAGAAAGGAGATGCTAGATAAAGATGGAGAGATCGACAACAGTAACCAGAAGAAGAGAGTAAAAGGTCAAAAGAGAAAGGGGGAGAGAAAGAGGAGAAAATAGGTGGACATATCTGGACCAGCATG